CTGTCCTTTGAGCTTGATATCCAGGAATCATCAGCACTTTCATGTAAAAAGGGTCAGTTTCTGCTTTGTGCCTGAGCCAGAACTTGGGTGCTGGCCCCCATGGTGTTGCCTGAGGGCTGCCTCTCGGAGCCTGGGCATCTTCGGGAGATTCCAGACCCTGGTTATGGGAAAGGTGGAGGCTGGGCATGAAGAGTTACTGAAAAGGAAATGCTCCTGAGTAATGTGTTAAAGCTGGGCTGTCACCGAATACCAGCTATAATAGCACATGGCTTTTTACAATTTCATTTGACCTGGTATCAATTGGTCATTTTGCAGGTGGGGACACTGAGGCCCTGAGGATCAAATGCCTTGACAAAGGTCAGGCAGGTAAAAAGGAGGCACCTTGAAGCTATCCAAATGCCTTTCAGTTGAATTGATACATTTGATGTTCTATAATCTTTCATTTCATACTTTTATTCAGAAAAAGAAATCAAATGGCTTTTTTTCCCTTCATGGCTCTTGAGTTTCATACATGAAACTCCTGATGGTGCTGGCTGGATGTCTTCACTTTGATACATCAATTAAGTTCAGAAATTGGAGGTCAGCACCCATCCCGACTCCTAAGGAGTAGCCGCGGCTCCGATCTCATAGTCCCTGTCCTTTGTAAAGAACTTCGACCGCCCTGCGTGGAAAGGCTCCTAGTCTCCCCACTGCACAGATGAGGAGACTGAGCCCACACGGGGAAAGGACCGTTCAGGGCGAGGACCAGAAGCTAAGGTTAGCGGCCAGGGCACCTACCCTTCTCAGTGCTATGTCCCTGGCTTAAAACAAGGCAGCCTGCCCAGGGACTCCATAGGCAGGTCCCAACAAATGCTTTTCCTCACTCAGCTTTTGGGGATATCTTCCCTAACCCAAAGGAGCAGCCAATGAAAGCTCTGCATCCACAGAGTTCCAGCAAAGAGAGGGGGCACTCCCTTTGGCCAGTTACAGGAATGTCTACTTTACTGGTAGGTCCCAGAAAGTTTTAAAAGCATTATTTTCCTAAAAGTTCCCCACTTTCTGGTGCTTGTCTGGAACGGCCAGGGCGGGCAGTTTCCTGTGCTGGAGCTCCCGGTGGTTCAGCAAAACACACGGGACGGAAGTTGGGAACTAGAGTCAGTTCAGGGGAACAAGGTGCTCTTGACCCGGGAAGGGAGGGAGGCCGCAGGGTCGGTGCCCGCCTGGAGCTGGCAGGTTTGTGGGTTGTTCCCTTTGTCCCAGGGGCCAACGTGAAAATCTGCATCAGGCCCGAAGACAGGGACTCCCAGTGACCCTGTAACCCACCTGTCAGCTCCTGGTGACCTGTGTCAGGGTCTGATGAAGGGTGTGAGGAATGACACCCTTCCCTCTCTGTGCCACACCCTGTGACGGCCAACAGCCTGGACCTGGTTCATCCTGCAGACCGGGGAGTCTTACACAGCCACGTAACGGAGGTTACGTGTGGTCCCTGAACCCGTGCAGTTGTCACCAAAGTTGTCTGTCTAGAACCCTGCCCTCCACGCTCTCCATCTGTGCGGAAGGACCCCGATGCCACCCTGTGTCTCCCTGCGGGTACTTGCTGGGTGTCCAGTGCCCTGTGTGCTGATGGCCTGGGGGTGAAACACTCCTCTCCTCCTGCCCAAACGTGTGTGCGCTGGCCCCACCCCGCACAGCTGTTTGCCCATCCATCACTGGACCAGGTTCCCACCACAGGACAGGAAGTGCTCCCCACATCCACCTCCGCCACCAGCCTGGTGACTTGTGGTCACTGAGCCCAGTAGCCAGAGAGAGAATTTTTAAAAAGACTCACAGACATGCAATTAAAATCTCAGTGTTGGGTTTGGGGGAAGGTGCTGGGCGGCTCCTGCCCCTGCTTTCCGGAAACACAGATTTTTAGTGTTTGAAAGTGACAGAAGGCTAAAGTGAGACGGCCCTAAATACACTGTCCTGGGCATTTCCGGCAGCTGGGGAAATGTGGGATTTATTTTGCACAAGCGGCCTCTTGCCCAGAGTGTTGGACCAGCCCCCGCAACGCAGCCACCTCGGGTCCCCCTCCAGCTTGTGCTTCTCCCCACCTCCACGCACAGCTTCCACACCACGCCACCCACCTGCTCCCCTGCTGCCCGGAACCCTGCCCCCCACTGGCCAGAGGCACAGCCCATGCTCCTAGGCCAGAACTCCAACCCTCCTCAGTCAGGCCACAGCCAGACGCACACCCATACCCCACCCTGCTGAGCTGTGGGTGGCCCTGGCCCACTCAACCTGTGCACTCGATGTCACCTCTGCCTAGAATGCCCTCCCACCAACTCCACCTGCCAAGACCCCGTCCCGTCCTTTAAGCCAGTTCAGATGTCACCTCCTCCAGGAAGCCTGCTCAGATTCCATCACACATGGGACCCTCCGACTTCCCCAGCACTTGACGGGGCCTCTCGAGAAGCTGTGACTCCTACCTTGTTGCTTCTTGTTCCTTTCCACCTCTCCTCTGGCCCTCCCTCCTCCTTCATCTCGTCCCAAGAGGAACCTTGACCGTTTGCAGTGTTTTATGGCTGTTGTTTCCCTGTCTGTGCTGTCAGTCCCTCAGCTCTAGGCCTTTGCTCACACTGGTCCCTCCCTCTGCAGTGTCCGTGTCCCATGTCCTCACAGACACCCCTCAAGGCCCAGCATGAGCATTCACTGTTCCCCAGGTCCCATCCACACACATCGATAGACTCAGAAGTGTACTCGGTCATGGCCCTGCCCACCCCGTGGCCTCTTCTGCCTTGGGTCTGAAGTCCAGCTCTCCAGAGGAGGGACACGTCCTCTCTGCCTCACCTGTGGGTCCCAGAGCCAGCAGGGGGCTGGGCTGAGACCTGCTGGGTTTGAGGCTTGGGGGCCAGAAATGGAAGCTGCCCTTGTGGGCCCCGCTGTGTGTCAGGCGCTGTGCCGGGCACCTCACTGCAGGGCTCACGGGGCCCTCTCAGCACCTGGGGCAGAGCCTGTGAGCCAGCCCATTCCCCAAGGAGGAAATGCCCCTCCCAGCTGCCCAGGACCCTGGCTCCCTCTGGGCCCTGCCCCCCGGGAGCCCGAGCCCAGAACCGGGAGTGAACTCCAGCCCACCTTGTCTTGCAGTGGAGCTCGACCCCGCCCTGGGCCACCAGGAGCCCCACTGGAAGGAATTCCGCTTTGACCTGACCCAGATCCCAGCGGGGGAGGCGGTCACAGCTGCTGAGTTCCGGATTTACAAGCTGCCCAGCACCCACCTGCCCAACAGGACCCTCCATGTCAGCATGTTCGAGGTGGTCAGAGAGCAGGCCAACAGGTGCTTGCCCCACACCCTGCCCCCAGCCAAGCCTCTGTGGGTGTGTCCGCCCAGCCGTGGGGGTACATTTCCCCGGGGACAGAAGGGGAGCTTCCTGGGAGCACATCCTCAGAGATGAAGGGTGCTTGGCCCAAGGCCCTGGCACCCAGGCACCCTGGCATCCTGGCATCCTGGCTGTGGGACCTTGGACGGGTCACTGAGCTCATAAACCTCAGTTTCCCCATCTGTCCACGGGGCACTAGCACCTTTCACGGTCGATACAGTGAGATAAGGCAGTGAGGCGCCCAGCTGAGAGCCAGGAGGGTCGATGCCTGCCCCACGAGTGGTTCCCAGGTGGGCACTGGAGACACGAAGGCAGCTGTGCCGGCTTCGGTTAATTGTTCTTTCGTATCCACAGGGAGTCTGACTTGTTCTTTTTGGATCTTCAGACGCTCCGAGCTGAGGACGAGGGCTGGCTCGTGTTGGACGTGACAGCAGCCAGTGACCGCTGGTTGTTGAACCACAACAAGGACCTGGGACTCCGCCTCCACGTGGAAACAGAGGACGGTAAGACTCAGGGGTCCGGCAGCAAACCTTCCCTGGGCTCTGATCAGAGAGGTCTGGGTTGAATCGCAGCTCTGCAGCTTCCTGACTGAAACCGTGGCAGGTTACTTACCTTACCAAGCCTCTGTTTTTCTCATCTGTAGGGAGGATTCACTCATTCATTCATTCACCAGGTGTGTGGGGACAGAGCCTCCTTTATCCCAGGCAGTGGGGATAGAAAGCCCGAAGGTGGGCCCCAGACTGGCGTGTGTGGCGACATCGAGGGACTGCCATGGCTGGAGCAGAGTGGACCAGGAGAGGCTGGAAGGAGAGGAGATTGAGAGGCAGGCAGGGCATTCTGAGTCGGGGTAAAGCAGGGTAAGGGGTTGGAGTTTTTAGGGAGCTTCTTGAATGGAATAGCAGTGGAAGGTGGCAGGATCTGATTCAGCTTTTTGTGGAAGACCCCCCCAAGGAGGTGGGCATCACTCCCATCCCTCAGTGGGGGCTCTCCTCCGTGACTGGCTTCTCGGAGGACAGTGTGTAGGGGGAGGGGAGGGAACTTGACAGTGGGGAGAGCTGACCAGCTCCATCTCAGCCAGGTGGTCAAGGTTCCTATGAATAACTCATTTGGCTCCTGGATATGGGGGATGAGAAGGACACTTCTCCTTGGGGGTCTTCTCCCAAAACCCATAACCCCAGTGTAACCATGAGAAAAACATCAGACAGACCAAAATGAAGGACAGCCTGCAGAATGCCTGACAAGTACTTCTCAAAACTGTCAAGATCATCAAAAACAAGGAAAGCCTGAGAATTTGTCACAACCCAGAGGTGCCTGAGGAGTCGTGATGACTCAGTGCCCTGCAGGATCCTGGGAGATCAAACGGAATTTGGGGAAAACTAATGAAATCCGAATGAATGGTGCTGTTAAGTTCATAAGAAGATACCAATATCAGTTCGTTGGTTGTGACACGTGTACTATAGTCATTTAAATGTCACCATTTCCCAGGGACATGGGGTCTGGGTATATGGGAATTCTCTGTACTATCTGCAACTTTTGGTTCATCTCCACTACTGTAAAGTAAAAACTTTATTTATCATATGCATAAGAGGAACGCCCCTTGGCTTCAGTGGGGTGTGTAAACTGGGGGACGAGAGTGGCCGAAGCCAGACCTGCCCGGCAGCAATGTCCAGGTGGGGCTGTGAGGGTGGGCAGCAGCAGAAACGAAAGAAGTGGGTAGCAGAGCCCTGGCCGGTTTGGCTCAGCGGTTAGAGCATCAGCCTGTGGTCCTGAGAGACCCGGGTTCGGCTCCCACTAAGGGTACGTACCTCGGTTGCAGTTTGTCCCCGGCCCTGGTCGGTTGTGCGGGTGGCAGCCGCTCGATGTGTTCCTTTCACATCGATGTTTCTCTCTCTCTCTCTGTTCCTCTCTCTCCCTCCCACTCTACCTGAACAAAAAATGGAAAAATGTCCTCGGTTGAGGATAAAAAAAAAAAAAAAAGTGGGTAGCAGAGTCGGAACAAAGTGGACTGAGCCAGGGGATTTTTTTAATAGTTTTTTTTTTTAACGGAGGGGAGGTTTGAGGCAGGAAATGCAGAGTTCTCTCTGGGCTCTGATACCCTTGATAACCCTGGCAGTCATCCATAAAAATGTCATTCCGGGACAGGAGCATGCCGGAGACACAGGAACCAGTGACATATAAAAGTGCATTTAGAGTGGGGAGGGGGTGCCAATGGGGTAAAAAAGGAGAAATATCTGTAACAAAAAAATAAATAAATAAATAATTTTTTTTTTTTAAGTGCATTTAGGGCCTTAAAACTGGAGCAAGCCACCTGGGGAAGGGGCTCAGTGACGGAGAAGGAAGGGACTGGCGGCCCAGTCTTCTCCTGAGTGGCACCCATAGGGGGCCTCCGTGCCCTAGGACCAGGTGGCTACTCAGGGTCAGCTCCTTCCCTATCTGGGTGAACAGTCCCAGGCCAGGTCTCGCTGCTGTCTGCCCTTCCTGGGCCAGAAAGCTCCTTACCTCGGGTGCCCCTCAGTCAGAGACGGAGGCCAGGCGGCACAGGGGCACCAGAGGGCCAACGCATCACCTCCCTGGCACCCCAGCCAAGCCTGTCCCTGGCAGGGCCCATCCCAGCAGGCTCTGGAGCAGCCTTCAAGGGCCAAGGGCTGCATATGTGGGCCCACCACCTGCACTTGTGCCGGGGCCAAGTTCTACACGGATCCACAGAGGCCGCGAAGGACATCTCTGACGGGGCGAACATCATGGTTGGCGAATTCGGGCTCTGTGGGACTCCCCAGAACCTGATAGGGGTGCTGCTCAAGACCCACATGAAGGACTTGACCGTGATCAGCAACATGGTATGGACAACTGCTAGCTGGACGTTTTACTAGTGACCAGGTGGGTCACCCACATCTCATCAGCCACACCTACCTGGGTGATGACATGCTATGAGCGCGAGTTATTGGCTGGTGCACTGGAGCTGGAGATCACACCCAGGGCACCTTGGTCCAGTGATCCGTGCAGACAGGGCCAGGTGGGGCTGGGGTACCCACCTTCTACATGCCCAGGGCCTAGCGGGACCCAGTTCAGGAAGGAGGCACCCCCATCGGGTACGACCATGACTGCCACATCACCATCATGAGTCAGCCCAGACAGGTGAGGGAGTTTCTCCGGCAACACTGTTTTGGGGCACGCATCACGGCGGATTTTGCTTTGGTGAAAGGGTGGAAGGGCAGCTGTGTGGGAAATGTCATTTCCAGGAATGTCAATGTGCCCATGTGCAAAGCTGCCGAAACCTCTGTGGCGGAGGTTGAAGAAATTGTGGATGTGGGGTCCTTTGCTCCGGAAGACATTCATGTTCCTGACATATATGTAGATCACGTGATACAGGGAAAAAGTATGAGAAAAGAATTGAGCCCTTAACACTCTGGGAAGAGGAAGAAGGAGAAGCCAAGTCTGCAGATGAAGGGAGTGAATCGTCGAACGGCAACTCTTGAATTTGAGGCTGGCATGTATGCCAACGTGGGCATAGGAATCCCTCTTCTGGGCAGGAACTACATCCACCCAGTATGACTGTTCATCTCCACAGTGAGTGGGATCCCGGGCTCGGGGCCATTTCCATTAAAAGAGGACGTAGGCGCAGACCTCACCAATGCGGGCAAGCAAACGGTCGCCATTCTTCCTGGGGCTGTTTTCTCCAGCGACCACCCATTTGCTGTGATCCGAGGGGACACACCCACCTAACCATGCTAGGAGCCATGCAGGTTTCCAGACAGGTGACCTGGAAGAAGGTGAAGGGAATGGGGTGCGATGGATTTGGTGTCCAGTATCAAGGCCAGAGTAGTGGTCACTGTGGAGCACCGCACCAAGGCCAGGGAGCCCACAGGCATGGAGCAGCGCTCGGTGCCCCTGACTGGGGAGCGGTGCGTGGCCCGAATCATCATGTAAAGGGCCGTGTTTGACGTGCACAGGAGGAAAGGCCTGGCGCTGGTCGAGCTCCGGGAGGCCTGGCGGCGGAGGACTCCCAAGGGGCACGGGGAGCGCCTTTGCCGGCTCACCCGTCAGACCCGCGCAGCAGGTGACAGCCTGGCTGGGAAGGGGACCTGGCTCACAGAGGCTGTTTTTCACTTTAACCTCAGGATTTCATCCACACGAACTTGGGAACCGCATTTATCCATTTCCCAAGCAGTCTGACCAGTTTTCTCCGGCATCTCAGGCTTTCTACTGCTAGAAAGACTTTGTTCTCTCAAGAGGGAAATCACTTTAAATAAAATAAAAGGAAAACAGAGAAGTTTATCTTGTATGTTGCGAGTACTCAGAATGGTCTGCTATAGCTGTTGAGGACATTGGATGCCCTCTTCACTGTGATGCTTACGTTAAATCTAGGCAGCTTGCCCGGCAGGTGTGGCTCAGTGGTTGAGCGTCGACCCATGCACCAAGAGGTCGCTAGTTCAATTCCCCATCAGGGCACATGCCCAGGTGTGGGCCCGATCCCCAGTGCAGGGCATGCAGGAGACAGCCAATCAGTATTCTCTCTCAACACTGTTTCTATCTCTCTTCCTCTCCCTTCCTCTTTCTCTAAACAAAAAAAAACAAACAAACAAAAAAAATCAATAAAGAAAAAGAAAATCTATGCAGCTTGAGATGATCCCGCAGGAAGGATTTCCTCCTTCATGAATGAATCATGGATGTAGGGGAAATCAGGAGGGAGGGAATAACTCCACCCAGAGTGTAGCTAAGGCACCATTTTACTAGTACTATGAAATGTATGTAACATAAGTGTCGTTTTGTGACTGGAAGACATGCTTTCTGAATGAAGGATTTTTCTCCTTTGGCCCTCCTGACTGTTCTGCTGGGGTCTTTCTAAACAAATTGTTGCTAAATTTGTTTCCCTGTAGCCTCACCTCTCTTCCCCACACATATCTCCTCCTCATAGCTAGACGTCTCCGGAGGAAAGAAAGACCACCTTGGTGGGACAGTGACCCGGTCATGGGAGCTACTGAAGGGGCGAGACGGTTGGTGCTGACATGCCGCCAGGAGTTTCCTCCATAAATATTCTCAAAGACTTAAAAGAAAAACGTGGCTTTACCTGTGTGTGTTTGGAGACCAGGGTGTTCAAACCTGATATGGAGCTTGAACTTTTTGAGCATAGCTCTAGGGGGCGTACAGCCAACATGAGCCCTTGGGTGAGAGCAGGAAATTCCCGCTGATCAAGGAAGCCCCCTGTCCACTCAGGGGCTGCTGGGAGGACTTGTTCCTAATTGATCTACTGTGTCAGTCTCTCTACACCCAGGAGACCCCAATAAGATCCTTGAACAGACAACTGCACAAGGAAAAGCAAACAATGAGTAGCCTCAGGGGAGCAATCAGTGCTGGCCCCTCAGTGGACAGGGCTCTCCAGGGAACCGGGACAGGGCAGTGGCACACCCAGGCCCGGAGGGCTGCCCGGGCCCACGGCTGTCCCCATGTGTCAGCCAGGCCATGGAGCTCCCTCCAGTGCCACCTTGATGACAGCTGCCATCGCTCTGGCTCCCTTGCCTCCTTGTCCCAGCCTCAATGGCCTTTCCCCTCTGCTCGCAGAACTTCCTGCGTCTTGTGGCCTGTGTCCTGGTGGTTCTGCTGCTTCCTCATGACAGCACCTTGCCATGACCCAAACTCTCCCAGACGGCTTCTGTCTGGGCTCCTTCCAGCAACAGCTCCTGCAGCTACAACCTCTTGTCTTAGCAGGTTCAGTCCTGCGTGGAGCCTCTGAGGGGCCCGCGCATTGGTTTTGTGGCAGGTGACATCATAGGTCAAAGGTTAGTCTCAGGATTAATAAGGTGTTCAATTCACTAAGGCCCCTGGACACAGGTCTAAAGCACAGCTGTTTAAAAGCTGACCTTTGAGCCCGGCCCCTGTGGCTCAGTGGATTGAGTGTCACCCCATGGACTGAGAGGTCCCAGTTCGATTCCCAGTCAGAGCACATGCCCAGGTTGCCGGCTCCACCCCCAGTGGGGGATGTGCAGGGGGCAGCCAATCATTGTTTCTCTCTCACATTGATGTTTCTCTCTCTCTCAAAAAAAAAAATCAATAAAACTTTTTTTTTAAAGGAACTTGGGCTCTGGAATGAGGCCAACGTGGGTTAAACCTGGGCCCTGGGACTTTGGTCCAGTGTCTCCGCCCACTGAGCCCGGTGTCCTCTGTGGCGTCAGGAAACAGTGAGTGCCCTGCTGTGGGCACTGCTCAGCTGAACCAGCATGGGCCAAGCCCTGGGGCTGCTCCCGTCGGCTGGTGTCCTCAGTCCTACAGGAACACCCGGGAGTATGGGGGAAGGTGGACCTCGGGCAGAGCCCCAGACCGAGGGGGAGTGACTCTGGAGGTCCTCAGTGACAGGGAGGTCCAGGATTACCGCAGAGACGAGGGAGACCATCAGTGTGAAATAACACTCACACCTGTATGCTTCACGAGTGGCCGTGCACACGACTCACTAATACCGACCCTGTGGTCCACCGGCCCTCCTCCCTCTCCTGCAGACCTGCCTTCCTGGGGGTGGGGGGGCCGGGACTCGGGTCTTCAGATGAGGAACCGAGGCACAGGGCTCCCCTCGGGTCCTCCGTGGTGCCCCTGCCCCCGCCCCCGCCCCGGCAGAGGTGCCTGCTGTGCCCACGTGCAGAGCCACTGCCCTCAAGTGACTGCCCTCTGTCCTCTCCCTCAGGGCCCAGCGTGGATCCTGGCCTGGCCGGGCTGCTGGGGCGACGGGCACCGCGCTCCAAACAGCCTTTCATGGTCACCTTCTTCAGGGCGGGCCCCGGCCCCATCCGGGCCCCTCGGGCAGCGAGGCCCCTGAGGAGGAGGCTGCCGAAAAAAACCAACGAGCTGCCGCATCCCAACAAGCTCCCGGGGATCTTCGGTGAGGTCCGGAGCGCCTGGGTCCGAGGCCCGCACATTGGCCGACAGCCAGTGGTGGTGACAGCCTCTGGCCCTCAGAAGGGGTTAAGCCAGTGATCACCTCCAGCCACCTTTGCTCATACCCTCCTTTGCCCCGGTGGAACAGCCACTGCACTGCCGCTCAGGCCTCCCTGCCACCTGGAAGTCCCTTCTGTGCTTTGTCCTGGCCACCAGGCCTGCCCAGAGGTCTCCGTCAGAGTCAGGGGCCCTTCCTGCGGGCAGCCCTGCCTGCAGCCCTCAGCCCCTCCCAGGCCCCCTGCGGCCCTCAGCCCCTCCCAGGCCCCCTGCGGCCCTCGGCCCCCTACCTCCCAGGCCCCCTGCGGCCCTCGGCCCCTCCCAAGCCCTCGGCCCCCTCCCAGGCCCCCCGAGGGCCGCTGCTTAAGCTAAGGTCCCCCCACCAGGCAAGACCCACAGGACCCCCTGACCCGACCATGTGCCTTCCTTTCCTTCCTGGGAGTCGGCCCTTGGGCTGGCCTCAGTCGAGCCACTGACCTTGCAATGGGTATGGCAGGACAGGTGGGGTGAGGGCAGGAGGTGTCTGCAGGAAAGGAGGACGTGCCACAGCCTGAAGGCAGACGGATTCCCAGGACTTTATTGGAGCATCAGGAGGCCCGCAGGCTGAAGTCAGGGGAGGCTGGGCTGGACTGGGCATGGGGTTACTCGGGAGCCACTGGGAGCCATGGAAGGAGTTGGGCTGGGTCATGGCACCAGGAGGGCTGCAGGGATGGGCTTTATGAGACCAAATGGTTTCTTTTTGCATCATTCATTTATTCCACAAATGCGCTCATCGGGGTATTCCTCACCCTGGGATCCGCCGTGGTAACTGCACAGAGCAGGACCCCAGAGAAGACCTTACACCATCTGTCCCTTGCAGATGACGTCCACGGCTCCCACGGTCGGCAGGTTTGCCGTCGGCACGAGCTCTATGTCAGCTTCCAGGACCTCGGCTGGCTGGTAATTTCTACTGTACCCTTCTTTCTTAGATGACGACCCCCACCTGAAGATTCTAAGTGTATCTCCAGGAGGGGACAGAAGGGAGAATTTTACTTTCTCATGTGTTATTTTCTTCTGTATTTTCCATATTTTCTACAAGGAGAGTGTATTATTTTTCTAGTGGAAAAGTGCATTTTGGTAAAAACTATAAAAATGGAGCCATGACCTATCTGGCTCAGCTGTTAGAGCATCAACCTGCAGACCAGTGTAGTGGGTTTGATTCCAGTCAAGGACACATACCTCTGTTGCGTGGTATGTCCCCGACTCTGGTTGCACAGGAGGTGACTGATTGATGTGTCTCTCTCACATCTATGTTTCTCTCTCTCCCTCCCTCCCATTCTATCTGAAGATAAATGGAAAAATATCCTTGGGTGAGGATTTAAAAAAACACAAAACAACTGTGAAAATGGAGACAGCCTGAACCCTGAGCCGTAAAGTGTCAGAGCTACAACAGGGAGACCGAGGCCAGGGTGGCCGTGCCTCTGAGCCTTTGCAGTGACAGCAGCTACAGGAGACGTGGGCGGGGCCGGCAGGAGGGCAGTGCCCAGTGCTGATGGCAGGTGTCGGGGACAGAGCTCTTTCCAGCCCTGACTGCTCTTGGGGATAGATGTCAGGCTTTGGGGGTCCCTCCCCAGGAGGGGTCCGAGGGTGGGTTGACAGGTCCCTGAGGCTGAGTGAGGGAGTGTGAGGGGCAGCCCTGAATCCTGCTGTGACAGGTGCTGGGTGGAGGACTTTGGGAAGGGCCACATGGGTGGGACTCACCTTCTTCCATTCCCTCACCCAGGATTGGGTCATCGCCCCCCAAGGCTACTCAGCCTATTACTGTGAGGGGGAGTGCTCCTTCCCGCTGGACTCCTGCATGAACGCCACCAACCATGCCATCGTGCAGTCCCTGGTCAGTACCCAACCTGTCCTGCCTGGACCCCAGGGAGGGTGCACTGAGGAGAGGGGCTGGGACAGCCTGGAGGGGATGGGAGCACCTGTTGGGGTCTCGGGGAGATTGCTCTGCCTGGAACCTGGGCTGAGTTCATGTGTAGTTAAATTCTTACACCTGTGCAGGTGCTGGTCCCCCATGGCCACACTGAGTCTGTTGACTGCTGGTGCACACACACGTACACACACATACGTCTTCAGCCTGGGACGGGGGCCCCTCATTAGCCGCTCTGTCGACTTCACCAACGCCCCCAGCACCCATCCCAGTGCCCTCATCTCCCTGCACAGGCGTGGTGCCAGCCCGTGCCCCAGGTTTCCCTCCTTCCTGCCTCTGCACTTGCTGTTCTGCCTGGAGGACCTGCTCCTCTGCCCTGGGCTCAACCAGCTCCTGACGCCCTGCATGCCTGACCGGTGGTCCTTCCCTGCCAGGGTGGTCACCAGCACTCTTGCTCCTGCCGTGCTGAGGGCCTGCTGTGATTGTTGTGCCGCTCCTGGGGGTCCCGATTATCTATTGGAGTGTTTCCCCTGTGTCCTCTTCCCACCCCACCAAGGATGAGAGCAGGGACCATGTCAGGGACATTTCTGTGCTCCCTGTCCTAGCACAGCAGCCACAAGGCATGTGTGAGAGATACATTTGTGTTGGAAATGAAAAAACTACCATTATGCCCATTTAGCAGATGAAAAACTGAGGCCCATGGATGTGCGATTTATACCCAAAGTAACAAAACTTCTGATTTGGTCTCTTAGTGGCTCAAAAACTAATCGAATGGAATGGCACCTTAGACTCCGCAAATCAATCTGGTGCCAGATAGAATAAAAAGTCGCTTCTCTGTCGCTGATCTGATAAAGCTCTGGTCTAGGTTGGGGTCCCAGAAAGGCAGCATCCATGAGGTGCCCACCTTCTCTCTCCAGTGTCCCAAGTCAGGAAGGGCCCTCCCCGGCTCCCAGCCACGTAGAGCCCCAAGGCTGGCACACCAGGGTGGTGGTGCCTGGTTTCTTTCACATGGGCCCACGAATGCCAAGCCCAGACACCACAGGGGAGCTGGGAAGTTGGGGAGCAGTGGCCCCCATGTCCCACTCTGGCTGGACATCTCTGCAGAGACCTCGGCTTCCCCAGTGGGTTGCAGAGGTTCTGGACCCCAAGCCCGGCTGACAGTTCTCCTGGAAGGCTGGCTCAGAGCTGGGGCTTCCGGGACAAGGCTGGGCACTGGGGAACAGGGAGCAGGCTGCTGGACACGCCCCCCTCGGACAGCTTCGTCCAGGTCCAGCTCTGCATCTCCAGAATCCTGGGCGGTCCTGGGCCCTGGGAGAGGCCACAACACAGGGATGGAAGCAGGTTTCCTTTCCTCTCCTGCCCGCGTCAGTGTGCGGCCCCGGCGAGGAGTCCAGTGCAAACTCAGCTCATCCTGCCCGGTCTCAGGATAAATATTTGTATGGAGGCCGAAATAGCTCCTCCGTCAGGCTCTTTCTTGGTGGGAAACTGTTCAGGCGGAGGGAGCGGGCGCGCTGCACCTGGTCCAGGTCCTGCCACGACCCCCGTGGCCTGTGTGTCCCCAGTTTCCTCAGCTGCCAGAATCCCACTTGTCTTAGAAGCTGTTAGGAGGGGTGCAAAGTGCTCTGAGAAGGAACGGCGTTGAACACCCAAGGGTCACCCAGGAATCCTTGGCTTTATCCAGCTGTCCCATGAACACTCACTGGGTCCCAGTCCGGAGGGGAGACAGACCACAAACAACGAAGGTGGACAAGACATGATCAGGGACGTTACAGAAGCCCAGAGCAGAGGGAGGGGTGGAGGG